TGTTTTTTCCTTGAGGAGGAGGAAGAAGAAAACATTTAGCTTCTCATCCAAGAAGCTTCATCAAGAAGCCCCGCCATCAGAACTGATGAGCTTTTGGATCAGAACCAAAATGTTTTCTTCTTCTTCCTCAAGGAAAAAACAGTCCAGTTGCCTCTTGAAGGAAAAAAAAAGCACCTTTGAGACCAAATTTTTAATGCCGTATGAAAGACTACCAAGGTCAGGGTCAACTAACATAACTTAGGGCAGGGGTTGGCAACCTTTAACATTCAAAGAGCCACAAAGGTCCTAACCAGAAGCCCTCCATTCAATTCTGGAGCCAACTGGAAGTCTGGTTCCCCCACCATAGAGTCTCCTCCTGACGCGGCGTCCTTTTTCCTCTACCTGTCCTAACTGAAAGCCCTATTAATTGTGGAGCTGACCAGCAACAGGGAGCTGCAGAAGAGGGATGAAAGAGCCACATGTGGCTCCAGAGCCGTGGGTTGCTGCCTCCTCACTTAGTGTATGCTGATCCACAGGTTAGGTGTGGTGATTAAATTTGGAACTCAAGAATACACAAGAGGACATTATAATGAAAATGCCTTCTTGATATAAAATCCTAAGCAGGATTTTATAAACATATGTACAGTATATATGGATATCCCTATATGGATGAGTTTACAGGAACAGTACAGAGGGGCAGATTAAGAGAGCAATAATAAATATTGAAAACAGGCTAGTTTCTTAAATGATTTCAATGATTAGCTTTCCTTGCAAGATGCTAGATTATTAGATAAGGCCAGTTCAAGGTGCTGATCCTAGCCTGGAAAATCCCATGTTCAAGTCTTCACTTGATTTCAAAGCGCACTGTAGCTCATCCATTCTCTTTCATCTCAAATCACATATTTCCTGTTGAGTAGAGTTTCTTGTTATTCTCAAGAGAAAAAGTGGGGCAAAAAACATTCATATAGAGAGGCTGGAGGAGTCACATTGCTTGTGTAAGAACATCATGTTTTATAGAGGAAACAAATGTCAACTAAATGTAGCTGCACTACATATTGAATTCTTAACTTTTTATTGCTTTCAGAGGGGCAGGAATGATCCTAATATGTTCCCTATATCATCACTGCACTTGTCAAGCCACTGTTTGCCATTTGTTTTAAAGAACTGCAATAGAAAAATGATGTAAAGATTTAAAACTCAAAGTGACAGAAAACAACCATTGCAAGATATGATAAAATGGACTATAATTCCTGAAAATTTTGCTATAAGAAACATATTGTCCTTTTAAGATGTTGCAAAAAGTTGGTTGATAACGTTCCGAACTGCAGATAGAATAAGTATATATAGTACAGCCATTGTGACCTAGGCCCAAGTAGTTATTACCAGACGCAATCAGTCCTAAACAAACATATTTTATTAGAACAGCTGAGAATTACTTCATTCTCAGCTTAGTCCAAATTAATTCCAAAACAAATTCTTCATAAACAGTCCTTCGGCCTTATCACCAACCTTTTTCTTCTTTGGCTTTTCTTGGCAAAACCCCACGAAGTTCAGAAGAAAGAGATGCTGACAAGAAACAAATGTAGCAACGCTGCTTTCCTACAAAGATCCCAAGAGCCGTTACTGCTCTTTTAAGCCTTCTGGGAGGGGCCAATTATCTCCTGGCATTACTCCCGAGTCGTCCTTTTTGCTTTAACTGCTCTTGCCTTCTGGCAGCTCTTCGCATGAGTGCACTAGGAACAGGTTCCTCCTGTTCCTCCTCCTCTCTGCTATCTGCCTCTGGAGGCTCTGTAGTTCGTGCATCATTCCCAGATGGCCCTGGCCCCATCTCTGCCTCCGATGCAGAGCCCTCGTCTGGGCTTTCCCCTGACTCCAGGACTGGCCCATTGTCTTCCCCAGCCTCCTCACTATCCGACTTCGCTGCCAGCTCCGCAGGCTGCTTGCGGACCACAACAACAGCCACCTATCTTAGAGTAATTTTAATGATTGGGCAAGTTATGATTGGAACAGTATATTGGATGAGGTAATACACCCTAAAACAAATAGGTAAATAAGAGTTCTAAATTCTCTCTTTGATTTTGAAGACTTGCAGGAGCCACCCTGTTTTGGAAAATGAGAAATGTTACGTATGAATCACAGTAGAATGAAGGTGAGGAGGATATTGACCTGGCTAATGATGTAGACAAGACATGACAAGACATGATCTTTAAGGCTAGGAAAGACCAAACAGAATTAGCTGGGTGCAGCACTGTGGATCCCAATATAGGCATGAGCTGTTTCATCTAGAGAGTTTTGGTTTTGGTTTTCTTCAGAGTTATGTAGCTCTTTGGAGACTTAGAAAACAAGCCCTTTCCATGTGAAGAAATGGTGTTAGGATCATAAAAGAAATTTTTACAGGCAAACACTTCCACTGGGAGAGCAGGACAGGCCAATGGAAAAGAGATAGTTAACTGACTTATGTGTACAGTATGTAGGGTTTTGTGTGAAATTTGTGGTCCTTGTATGTTACTGAATTACACTTCTCATCATTATTGACCATTAGTCATGCTAGCTGAGATCTCTGGAAGTTATATTCCTTTTTTTTTTTTTTTGATTTTATTATAACATATAGTAATACAATCGGTACATTTTCGGTTCATTGGTGCAGTTATATACATATATACATCTGCATACATTATTGCTTGTCTTTTGTTGATATTGTTTCTTGGAGCTAGATTTAATTTCAAACATTTAAAAATAATAGTGCTCAACTCCCTAAGACTAAATCTAATACTATTCATATAGATTTTGTTAATTAGTTAAAATTTAATCTCTATTACCTTCTTTATTTCTTTCCCCCATCCATTCGTACCACATGTCCCACACGCTATAAAATTCTGAATCTTCTCTGTCATTAAGTTCTGAAGTCAATTTGTTCATTTCGGCGCACTCCAATATTTTTCCAATAACATGTTCTTGAGGTGGTATTTGTTTTTCTTTCCAATACTGGGCAAAGGAAATTCTAGCGGCTGTCAGAATATGTATAATTAAATACTTTTTCTTTTTTGCATATTCAGTTTTCAAAATTCCCAGGAGAAAAGCTTTTGGGTCAAAATCAAAATTTTCTTTTATTATTTCTCTAATCCATACCCATATCATCCTCCAGAATTTTTGTGCCTGATTACATGTCCACCAGCAATGATAAAAAGTACCCTGCTGATGGTCACATTTCCAACATTTAGGGCTCGAATTGGGGTAGATCTTCGCTATCCTGGCTGGGGCCATATGCCATCTATAAAACAGCTTGTATTGGTTTTCCTTATAAGCCGTCGCCTTTGTCATTTTAAGGTTGTTATTCCATATTGAATCCCATTCGTTCAAATTTATATTCTGTCCTATATTTTTGGCCCATGCTAACATCGGTTCTTTAACTACTTCCTCTGCCATATCATACTCCAATAAATAATTATATAATTTAGCTAAAATTTTGTCGTCCGTACCCATCCATATCTTATCAAATCCATTTATGCTCATTTCAATGCCGAATTCCTCCTTATCTTTTTTATATCTGGATTTAATTTGGTTATATGGCCACCAGTCTATAGAAATACCTTGTTCCATCAATTCTTCCCTTGTTTTAAGGTTCCCTCCCCCATCTAATAATTCATTGTATCTGAACGTTTTACCCATTTCTAATACATTTGGATATATTATAGCCTCCATGGTGGAAAGCCATCTCGGAATTTTCCTATAGTACTTCTGTCTCATCTCTCCCCATATTTGTATCAAGATCTCCCTTATTTTATGTCTATGGAAGTAAGTTTTTATCTTCTTCCCAGTATCCCAGAGATATGCATGCCACCCCTTCTGGAGATCATACCCTTCTAGAGTTAAGTTGGAAGTTATATTCCTACTACACCTGGAGGATCGCAAATTCCCCACTCCAGCATATGACACAGGAAAGACAAAATGGCACTATATCAAACACCATTCCAGGTTCTTCCACTCCAGGTTCTTCAATGGAGACATGAATGTTAGAACTGAAGTTGGTATGCTTCTTTCTTTCTTTCTTTCTTTCTTTCTTTCTTTCTTTCTTTCTTTCTTTCTTTCTTTCTGACATTATGAGCATCCCCACCACTTTTCATATGGGGTGTTTGAGATTGTTTTTGTTTTATACGACACCAAAGTACATAATATCCTTTTGCAATTGGCCCAGAAGCTTTTGTTCCTTTAATAAATTCATAGAGGAAGACTTTATCAGTATATATCATATTTAGGATTGAATAAAGAGCTATCCAACCACAGAACTCTTTGTGGTGTGTACAAAAGAGGAATATTAAGTTGATATTATACTAGTGGAACAGAGCCAGTAATTTGAGATGCTCATATGCTTTGGCAAGTCAGAAGAACCAGCTTTCCTGTGCAGTCATGTCTGTTGACAGCAGCATTTAAAGTGGAAAGAAGAGGAGGTGTATGGGTAGGTGGATCTGCCAGCAGCTGGCAGCCAATTCTGGAACAGGTCTCTCCAGTTAATGAAAAGAATGCTGACTCAGTCAAAGTCAAACCAGTTTGGACTGAACTATTATTTGCATCTATTTAGAAAAGCTTTTTTTTTTTAGTCAGGTTAACTTGGACATGGTAAGAACATGTGCAGAAAAGGATGATGGTAAAGGAATTCTTGTATGTAAATTTTATTCTCACATATGTTAAATACAAATATTAATCTGCCATTAAAAGGCTAAATGTTTCTCCTATTATTTTTCCTGCCTTAGTTCTGCTTTTTAAATATTTTAGTTAATGCTTTTTAAATAAGTATTATATAATGGTTTTAAGTAGTGATTGATTTATATAATTAGTGTTTTCTTGGATTGTTGTTGGCTTCCCAGAGTCACTTTTCGTGAGATGGGTGACCACATAAAGTTGATAAATAAAGTATTTGCTATTGACTTAGATATAGTCAACTCTTCTTCGTCTCTTCTACCTTTTATAATATATGAGTGAAGTAACTGAAGCAGAAGTCAATAACATCACAGCATTGAGTACAGTATGTCTTCCTGGAATTTAATTGGACTTAAATAACAATGTATGGAAATAATATATCCAGTAGTCTTCTTCAATCTCTTCTTAATGTGTTGAATTACTGTCACCATCCTGAGCTGCTACAGTCATATGATTGTAGGCTGAAGTATAGGACTGCAGCCCCAGATGAAGTTCCAAGCATAATAAAATCAAGATCTGGTTTGGAAAAGATGTTTTGATTTTCATTAAGAAAATAAAACTTAATTTTCCTCTAAGCATTCAGTTACAGTGGGTGGTTCTTACTGTCATGTTTTAGAAAATAGCTTGAATATTTTTTTTACAAAGTTACTTCATGCAAATGAATAAGGACAAAGCAAAATATGCAACTTATATAACAAATGAAACATAAAAATGTCATGTAGTAATAATAATATTAATAACAACAATAATTTATTAAATGTATATATGCTGCTTGACTCCCAGTGACTCTGAGTGGATTACAAATGGTTAAAAACATTTAAAAACAAAAAAGCATCTCTCTTCACACACATACCTCCCCCCCAAAAAAATAACAACACAATCAAAGAAACAAATATAGTAGAGAAATCAAATTTGAATGCAAACAAGGAAAAGAGGAAAGGGAACATCAGTCATCTTTGTTAAAGGCCCTGTTTAAAGGCTTTGTTAAAGGACAAAGAGCCATGTCTTCAGGGCCCTTTGAATTCCCAGAGGGTGGGAAGGATTTTTTAAATCAAATCTTTGGAAGAATCTTATTCCAGAGGGCAAGTATTGCTACAGTGAAGGCATGCTTCTGGGGTTCTGATTGGTGGCATTGTATTTATTTATTTATTTATTTATTAATCAAATTTCTATACCGCCCTACTCCCGAAGGACTCAGGGCTGTGAACAGCCAAGATAAAATACAGATAATACAAATATTAAAAAAATCCCTTAAAATTATTAAATATTTCGGCCGAAACACAGATTAAAACACCCAATTTATAAAATCACAAATTAAAAAATTTAAAAAATTTAAAAAATGGGAGTTAGGCCAGGCCAGCTTGCTGAAATAGAAAAGTTTTGAGAGCACGGCGAAACGTGCGCAGGTCCGGGATCTTCCATATCTCTGGGGGGAGCTCGTTCCAGATGGTAGGTGCCCCCACAGAGAAGGCTCTCCCCCTGGGGGCCGCCAGTCGACACTGTTTGGCCGACGGCACCCTGAGGAGCCCCTCTCTATGGGAGCATACTGGTCGGTGAGAGGCTATTGGTAGCAGAAGGCGGTCTCGTAGATACCCCGGTCCGATGCCATGGAGCGCTCTAAAGGTGGTAACCAAAACCTTGATTAAAGGAATCCAGATTGTGCTAAGGAGACCAGATCAGACCAACCAAACAGATAATATTGAAGACAGACCATACTTCCGAAGAAGAAATGAGGAACTGAAGAGAGATTCATTAAAAGTAGAATTGACAATCATGGCAAATAGTTCAGTCCATTGAAATTCCCCTCCAGACAAGGAGAGGATTCAAGATCAACCACAAGTGTTCCATACAGTTCCTCATGTGGAAAGCACAAGACAGTGGTCTCTAATGGGTTTAAAGCTCTGGGAGATGAGAAAATAGCCATAATTTGCACGAAGTGAGTTGACCTTTCAAAAGGATACTTCCTTTTTAAATCACTTTTGATTAAAGGCTTATTAACTGCTTTTCAGCTACTATGAACAGGTTTTACAGCATTGGGTGAGTTTCCTTCAATCCTTAGCAAAAGAAGTTAAAATATAAGCTTAAGGACTTATTCTTTTTTTTCTTTTGGAATAAATAATGAAGAGGGATTAGAATTTTGATTTTGGAAAGTTACAACTAGAGTAAGGACCGAAATAAATTTAAAATAAGATCTTTGAATTAATTATGAGAATCCTTCCCATGGAAAAATGCTTTGGTTTTGAATTCTCTTTAAAAAATGATAGGATGAGTATTTCAAGATTGTACACTAGCGAGATCCAGAAGGCAGTAAAGATTACAATTAAAGGGGAAGAACACTAATATTTGATTTATTAATCCAAAATGATGTAAAATATTTTGGAAATATTAGAAGGATATTTTTAACAATGGACTCAGAAATTAATTTTAAAAGTGCCTGCCTGAATATATTTAAAAGATGCTATGGAAGAGAATGACGTTTTTTCTCACAAGATTGAGACTGATTTGAAAATGGATTTAAAAATGATCAGCTGCAAGAATCATCAGCCTGAGGAGATTTAGCTGGAAGAGTTGTCTAGCAACCAGGAAAGGCAACTATTGCTGGCCTCAGAAGACAAACATGCAGAGCTAACATCTCCCACAATGCAAGGGCCATCCTGGTGAGGAGGGCTAAACCAGAGTACTCAGCAAAAGCATTGACCAGAAAGAATCCTGCCCCATTAAAGGAACAATCCCCTATATAAGGGGAGCCCCACGACCCATTGGCAACAACTCTCCATCTACTTCACCATCGTGTTTCTCAACTCCTTAGTTGCCTTCTTGTTTATCTAAACTTTTTGTCATTAGAGTTTTGTTTGAAAACCTTTTTTTGTAAAGATACAAGAGTTACCTATATGTCTATGATTTCCATGGAGCTGGAACAGATCAGGACAATGTCCAGCACCATGAATTGCACCCAGAACCAAACTGGCAACCAGTATTACCTCCATCATGGCAAAACTCTTTTATACCTCTGAAGGGAATGATCCAACCCATCCAGAGTCATACAGACTTCTCTCTTTATTGAACATTGAATACAAACTTTTTAAACAATCTTACACTCATACATAATACACTCTGTTCAGATGGTACTTGTTCTGAAGAGATACTGTATATGACTGGTGATATAAGAAATATAGTATTTTGAATGACATTGATGATATTATTTGCAATGCAAGAAGACATAATTATTTTTCTTGATGCAGAAAATGCTTTTGATTCATGGATCCAAAGTATTTAACAGCAAAGTTAAAAGGAAATGAGCCTATTTCAAAAACATGTTTTATTATACAAGGAATAAGACAAGGCTTGTTGTAGAAGGATACAATATTTTTGGAATTAAAATGGCAAGTCAAAAATATAAATAAAACTATATGTTAGAACTCATCTAAGTGATTCTTTAGAATTGATAATGAAACAAATGTAACAATGTAATATGGATGCTAATTACAATAGTATAACAGGAACAGGAAACAGATGATTACATGGAATTTATGCAGAAAGGAATAACAATACCTAAAATGATGATGATGATGATGATGATGATGATGATGATGATGATGATGATATTCCTGGTGACTCTGGGTGGTTTAAAATTATAAAAATTTTGAAAATGAGAAAAGTGTAAAAAGAACAAAGATGTCATACTAAACTAACTCAGATAGAAACATAGAAAAAGAAGAAAAGGGGACATAAGAATATGGTTGCCAAAGGCTGGATTAAACTGCCAGGGTTTCAAGGAACTTCAGAATACCTGTAGGTTGGGATCATTCAAATCTTAGAGGAAACTTCATTCCAGAAGTCAGGAGCTGCTAAATAGAAGATACATTTCTGCGGCCCTGATAAGTGGCATTGTTCAATCAGTAGAAACTAGAACATGACAACTTTGTCGAATCAGATTGGCTAGGCAAATACTATAGGAGATTAAAAAAAAAATATTCAACATTAGTGTTAAAGCAATTAAATCCTTAAGTATTTATTTAACTAGAAATAATAAAGTTATTCAAAGATAATTATTTGCATAGTTGGAAGAGTATAATAGCAGCTATCCTTAAATGGGAAAATTTGAGCTTATCTTGATTAGGAAGTAAAAAGTAAAAATCAACATTCTTCCAAGGGTTAATTTCCTATTCCAAAACATGCCAGTTAAAAATCGATGAAAAGATGCAAAACGACTAACAAAGACAAATAAGCAATTTCATCTTGCTAAACAACAATTGAGGGTTAAATTTAAGGTTGTACAAGATGTAAAAATAAAGAGTGAGGCTGGGCTATCAAATAGGATATATTATCAAGCCAGCTGTTTGACTTGATTCACAGACTGAATCATAGTTCCATGTGGTTGGATCACATTTATAGAAAGAATAGAATGCACAGAAAGTCTACATAAATATTTTTGGACTGATATAAAAAAAGTGCAGTAAGTGTAAGAAATCAATCCGTTAAAATTACCTTATTAAAAAGTATATGATAAAAACAAAAAAGGTACAAGACCAGACTTACGTGCAGTGTCTTTGATATTAAATATATATTTTCATGAAAAATATGCTAAAATTGATCAGTAGTGAGAAAAATCCTATATTTTACAAATCTTAATTATCGTTAAAACAAAAATGTAGTAATGTAAGACTCTCAGAATGGTTAGAAATGCTTTTCTGGCTCAGTATCTGCAAATAAACTGTATAATCCAGAAGGAATGATTAAAAAAACAAGGTGGTCAGTCCAGGGACTTGACTGAATTTGAAATACTTATAATACAAAATACAAAACATCTGCTAGGGTTTATATAGGAATTGTTACTGAAACATGGTTTGGAGACTGAACGAGTTAAAGAATGCATTATCAAATGGATACAGAACTTAAATAAAACAATGGGAGTGTCAATGGAACATAAACATAAAAATTATTGGGACTGATACATTAAGAGAAAATGGGTACAAGACATTCTTCTGTTGGTATATCACCACAGTGATGATTGCTAAAATGGACAATACATATTCAGAAAATTGTTGCAGATTTAGAAATGAAGTTGGAACATTTTACCATATTTGGCAGCAATGTCCTAAAACCCAGTTATTCTGGAATACGATTTTATAGGAAGAAACAAGTCCTAACGTTGATTTTTCTTTTCTATCAGTTATTTTCTGTTATTTATTACTAAACCTTATGTACCTAAAAATACGTTGATTTGGCTTTATAGATGATTAACGTTGCCAGAATACTTTATGCTGGAAATCACATTTAATTCCTTCATTGGATGAATGGCTGCTTAAACTAGAGTAGAATGCGTATTTCCAAAACAACTTTATACAGGAAAAACAAATGTGATGTCAGTTTCAATTTAACCTGGAAACCATTTATGGAATACAATTCTGTACATGGCCTGTTGCCATAGCTGAAGTTTCAATTTTTTAAAAAAATATTAATTTTGAACTAATATGATTGTGTATTTTTTAATCATATGGATCTTTCAATATTTTTATATTTAATCATTATACATGATTTAATATTTTATTTTAGAAATAGTTGAGTTATTTTGAAGCATTAAGCTAGCATGAATGTTTTTGTAATTTGATTTAATCTAAATTGATATACAGGTAATCCACAGGTTACGAGCGTTCCTTTAGCAAACATTTGAAGTTATGCGATAAGTGCCCCCTAGCGTTTGCAAACAAGACCCAAAACTACGAAACTTGTCGCACCATGGCAGTTGCTCACCCTTACGAACAACCACAGAGGCTTTGCAACATTCATCCTGCACGTTGCCAGCCGAAATGGAGCTTCTGAGGTGTGGATCCGCCCCTCAGAAGCTCTATTTGAGCGTCCAGAGCAGTGGTGGGTTGCCCCCAGTTCGGACCGGTTCTATAGAAGCAGTAGTAAAACTGGTGGGAGGCTCCACCCACCCACCCTTATCTCATCAGGGCGCTACTGCGCATGCACGCATGGCCCGGTTGTGAACCGGTAGTAAAGGTAAGTAGAACCCACCCATGGTCCAGAGGCCTCACCTGGCATGTTGCTGGCCAAAATGGAGCTTCTGGAGCTTCTGATCTGGTCCTCAGAAGAACCATTTCAGCCTGCAATGGGCCAAGGGAGGCCACAGAGGGCTGAACAGAACTGCAGAAGGGCACCCATGTCTGAGACACTGGAGAGGAGACTTCTTGCTAGATCTTCACAAGGTAAGTGCCCCAGTGTGGCAGGTTGGGGGGGGGAAGCAATTGTGGAAGCATGAGGTATTTCAGTGAGTCAGGGAGGCCTTGGGTGGTCTTAGGTAGGTGGCCTGTTCCATCAGTAGCCCCCCCCCTGGCGGCCTTCCCCACCCTGAAATACCTCATGTGCACTTAACGAGCCTCGCATTTGATTAGCTAATGCATGGGCAAAAGGAGGGAATGATCCCGTTCAAGATATGAGATTCCCTTCCATGAATTCTCGGGTTACAAATGGAATGGGCAGGCTCCATTACATTCATAACACTACCTGTATAAAGATAAAGTGAGGTGTTTTTTTTCCTAATGAAATAGTTTCTTTTAAATTTCTCTTACGTTGCTCTGCAAACTTTTCCATGCAATACTTGTATGTGTAAGTTACAAATAAAAATTATTTGTAATTTCTATTATGTTTCTTTTCATTTCTTTTTCAAAATAAAACAAAAGGGAGTTGACTATGGCATGAGTCCCCATGAGCAAGATGAATCACTTAGGGCAGGCATGATGAAGAGAAGGCCAGATGACATTGCTTAAATGATGGGACCTGCCTACCCTGTCCACCCTGTTGGGTGTTGTCAGATCTTATGTGTCTTTGAAGGACCGAGGTCAGTCTCTAGGGAAACTTTATTAAGGTAGAAAAATGTGTACTATTCTTCTCAGGAGATATGTAAACTAATCCAGAAATGGAAGGGAATTCCTAGAAGCTCAGTATCCTGATAGTTCAGCCATTAACAGACACATAGAGATAAATTCAGTCTACACACTATGCCAAAAGCAAAGAAGGACCTGAGAAAGAAACAAGCTTGGGGCACATCCCTCCTACCCAGATCAACAATAGTTAGATAAGCAAGGACCAATACAATAGGGAGGAACAGCCAAAGTGGACCCACTACAGCCAACCAAATCAGGTATGCCAATCAGATACAGGCAAATTACTGCGACCCACCTTTCCATATCAGATTCCTGACAAAGTTACCTTGATTGGTACTGAAAAGTCTACACAGAGAAACACAAGTTCAGAAAACATCACAAGTTCAAAAACACATGTTCAGAATCAAACAAACTGGAAGGACTTTTAACCCAAGATAACCGTTTTAATCTATCTCCAGAATGTAACGTTAAAATTGGGATCCTGGCAGTGGTGAAATCCAATTTTTTAAACTAACGGTTCTGTGGGCATGGCTTGGTGGGCGTGGCTTGGTGGGCATGGCAGGAGAAGGATACTGCAAAATCTCCATTCCCACCCCACCCTGGGGCCAGCCAGAGGTGGTATTTGCTGGTTCTCCGAACTACTCAAAATTTCTCCTACCGGTTCTCCTAACTACTCAAAATTTCCTCTACCGGTTCTCCAGAACCTGTCAGAACCTGCTGGATTTCACCCCTGGATCCTGTGGTTGCCTATTTCTGCATAAATGATGGATGAGGGAGATGTGCTAACAGTCTTCAATCATCAATCTTCATTACCATCAAAAAGGATAGTCTACAAAAAATTAAAAAGCATACAAAATGCAAAAATAAAATTACATAAAAACTAAAAACTGTAAAGAGAAGAATCTAAAACAAAAATCTTTTTAAAAGTCTAAAAATAAAAAGCAATAAATGGACAAAAATCATTCATAACAAGCTAAATGTATGATAATACAAAATAGTCTTCAAGTACCTGTAATATTTCCAGAGTAGACTTATTTCTATTACTTTAGAGCCAGTGGGTTAAAAACTATACGAAAATAAGCTTAAAGTAGTTGCCAAGAGAAAGCTTTTGACTATATGAACTATCTACCAGTGGAATAAGTTGCTACATGAAGTAGTGAATTGTCCTTCACTGAAGGTTGTCAAGAAGATGCTAGATGGTTATGTGTCAGAGAGGCTGGGTGGGGGCTGGGCGTGGCCATGGTGGGCGTGACACAGGACCGCACTTCCACACACATGGTTTTATATACTTATAAAAATAGAGAGGCGTACATTTCTGTGATTTTGTTTTTTTAATACTTACCTGATCTGCTTGATCACCTTATGAGAGACCAGATCAAGAAACTGACTCCATAGGAAGACTAGAACTATAAATTAGTGACATAGGCTATAGTAGCAGAATCCTGCAAGCCTGAAAGGTAAAATATTTTACCTTTCCTCCCTTTTATAACCTTCTGAGTCAAGGGCGGCCTCCTGCAGTACTTCAGAGGCCCTGTTTTGGGCCTGGATGGCCTCCTGAAGTTAATGTTGCCAGGTGTCCACTATTTGAGCGGACAGTCCGCTTTTTTCACATTATGTTCACTATTTTTTTCACAAAATAGTGGACATTTTTTTTATTCAAAAGCTTTATGATGAAATTAAAATGTAATTTAATATTTTACATATTATTATAATATATTTGATGTTTTGAATTTTAAATAAAGTTTTGAAGTGATTATTTTAATACGTGTTAAAATGTTTGTAAGAAAATATATAATTTAATTGTAATTTTTTTAAAAAAAATTTACTACTTAATCCCCCCCTCCCCCCGCTTGTCCGCTATTTTTTGGAAGCAGACCTGGTAACCCTACCTGCAGTGCTCCAGAGGCCCCGTTTTAGGCCTGGAAGACCTCCTGCAGCATTCTGGAGGCCAAACCTGATTGCAGGAGGGCTGCATGTGCCCCCCCCAAGTTTTGCTAGCAGAGGCACGTGGGCCAGTCCTTTGCTATTTCCAGGCTGGCCCCGTGTGTC